AGAGAGGAAGAAAGAAGAGAACGCTAGCACGTTCCCTGCGGCCGATCCAGTCACGTGCGTGTGGATACCGGTAGAGCTCGGGATCGTTTTCTCGGACTGTCTGACATCCTTGATTAAGATTGCTATGTAAGTCCCTCTTAAATTCTTGTAATTTCGTTTATAATAAGAACCTCAGATCCGTTCATTTACTTTTGGGTAGAAAAAATTTTTGTTTATTCCGCTGCGTTTTTCTGCCCGAAACCCAACAGTGGTATCAGAGACTACGGTTCTTTATTATATTCGGGTTACCTGATCTATTGACATTATACGAAATTTGATATGAATATTCGTTAGTCAAAAATAATAGAAATTAAACCTGTTGTTTGATTTCCGAAATCAAACCGTTTTGAACAAATCTAAGAATTTAATTTTAGAAATTAAAATCTAGTAGCAAAATTATAGTCCTGCTGATGGACGAACATTGTTGAACTAGCGTATGGGGATTTGGGATGAAATTTGTTGTTCGGTGTTTTTAGAATTGAAAGGATCATCCTTTACTTTAGTTTTGATATTTTTAATTTTTGAAATTAATAAAGTATTATCATTTTGAATCTGAAAAATCGTTGGTATATTTTGTTTCTACGTATACGGGGTTTTTCGATTCTGTGAGGTTGAAATCTGGTAACGACGAAATCTACGTGTTGCTATGTTTTCGCCTTTGTCTGCTTGGGTGCATAGATTTTAGAAATTAAACACACCTAAGGACTCTTTCAATTCTACTAAGATCCTGACTCTTATAATTTAACATGTAGCTGCATATATGAGATACGTAAATGAATTGCAGTACGGATTAATAAACGAATTGCTTAACCAATTTACCGCAAAATAGCCTAACTTTATTGTGCATCTAGGAGACTAAAAGGCTTACGTAATTAGTGTGACTAATTCTTATCTCCTGTATTTGTACATTATTTTAGCATGCTATTTTGTATTATTTTGGACGATTATATTAATTAATGAATCAGATTCATTTTGCATGTTTTAATTTAATATTTGAGTTAGATCTTGTAAACATATTATTTGATAATATATTTTAGCATCTTGATTGAATAAGAATTCATTAATATGTATTTTTTCGGATGAGATCCGAATTAATTACATATTACTTGCGGATTTTAAAATTTAATTTTCAATCCGTGCATGCGCAATTATTTTGCTCCGTCACAGGGACAGTTTGAAGTGGTGGTATAGCATGATCTGAATGTATGTTTTATATTATATTGTTTTACGGCCTGCGTGTCGTTTCCCACTATCCCCTGTAATGTTTTTCAACCCCGTAGATTTTTAGTAGTACACTACACAGGTTGAAGATGTCAAGGAGATATGAAGATTTTGGGATCATGCTATATCACTGCACTAGTTTTAAATTATTTATTTAAATATTTGATTGCTGCATGTGTGTAATTATTAGTCCCGACTAATTATAAGTCTAAATTGCTTTCCCAATATGACCACCATTTAAACTATGCTAGTCGTGATATGTGTCTGCCAAAGCAGAGCATTTCACACTATCTTAGGAAGATGTTTTGAATGATCGTCATTCTCGGGTCTTAATATTGGTTTGGACTTACAAGGCCATCAAAATGGTTTTGGGCCTTGAAGCAAAGAGTGTTTGGATAATCATATGATGTTGACCAAACAAACCAAGAGTCATATAGGATATGATTAACAAGAGTTGTTTACCTAAATAACTAATTTTTAAGTGATAAGCCAAAGCTTACTTAAATTTTAGTGAAATATGGATCTTGGACCACTATATTTGGGACTTTCTATTTAATATAGTGGGAGTTAATTTTTGAGCATTATTTAAAAATTCTTTGCATTATTTGTTGTAGTAAATATGGCTGCCAACACAACTTTTTCACTGCGATCTATCCTTGAGAAGGAAAAACTTAATGGAACAAATTACATGGACTGGGATAGGAATCTGAGAATCGTTCTCAAACAAGAGCGTAAAGAATATGTCCTTGACCAACCAATTCCTGCTGAACCAGCGGCCAATGCTGCTAGAGCCATTAGAGATGCTTATGAAAGGCATGTCCGTGATGAAGTTGATGTCACTTGTCTGATGTTAACTATCATGGAAGCTAATCTTCAGAAACAGTTTCTGAATCGTCGTGCACATGACATCTCTAATGAACTCAAGAACTTGTTTCAGAAACAAGCACGGATCGAAAGGTTCGAAACGACCAAAGCTTTGTTTCACACAAGGCTTACTGATGGAAACCCGGTTGGACCTCACGTGCTCAAGATGATTGGGCTTAGGGATCACCTGGAAAGACTTGGAACTCCAATTAGTCAAGAGTTGGCTACTGATGTGATTCTCGCATCACTCACTCCGGCATATGACCAGTTCATCATGAACTATAATATGCATGGTCTTGAGAAGACCTTAACCGAATTGCATGGAATGCTCAACTCTGCTGAGCAAAACATCAAGAAAAATCGGAGTGACATTTTGATGGTCAAAAAGGGGAAGGGATTCAAGAAGCATGGTAATGGCAGGGTTGGTGGAAACAAGAAATCCAAAACCCTGGTTAAGAACTCGGGTAAAAGCAAATCGGTTGCTGGCTCTTCTTCTAAAGATGAGCAAAAATGTTTCCACTGCAACAAAACTGGTCATTGGAAGCGGAATTGCAAGGCATATTTGGAGGAACTGAAAAAGAAGGGGCATGGTGATGCTTCCAATTCAGGTATCTATGTGATAGAAGTAAATGTTACTACCACTACTTCATGGGTATTGGATACCGGTTGTGGTTCTCACATTTGTTCAAATGTGCAGGGACTAACAAGGAGTAGAAGGCTGGCTAAAGGTGAAGTTGACCTACGAGTAGGCAATGGTGCAAAAGTTGCAGCATTAGCAATAGGGACATTTACTTTGAATTTGCCCACGGGCTTAGTTTTAGAACTTGATAATTGTTATCATGTACCTGCCATTAGCAGGAATATTATTTCTGTTTCTTGTTTGGACAAGAAAGGATTTCATTTTATAATAAAGAACAACATTTGTTCTATTTATTTTAATGAGATCTGTTATGGTAGTGCTAGTCTCATAAATGGACTTTATGTTCTAAACCTTGAAATGCCCATCTATCACATAAATACAAAAAGGTTTAAATCTAACGACTCAAACCCAACATACCTTTGGCATTGTAGACTAGGCCATATAAATGAGAAGCGCATTAAAAGACTCCATTCTAGTGGATTTCTTGATTCTTTTGATTTTGAATCAATCGAGGAGTGTGAATCTTGTTTATTGGGTAAAATGGCCAAGTCACCATTTACTGGTAAAGGTGAAAGAGTTCACGATTTATTAGACCTCATACACTCGGATGTATGTGGCCCAATGTCAACAATGGCCAGGGGAGGTTTTCAGTACTTCATAACATTCACTGATGACTTCAGTAGGTTTGGTTATGTATACCTAATGAAGCATAAACATGAAGCTTTTGAAAAGTTCAAGGAATTCCAGAATGAAGTTCAGAATCAACTTGGCAAAACAATTAAGGCCATTCGATCAGATCGAGGTGGTGAATATTTGAGCCAGGAATTTAGTGATCATCTAAGAGGATGTGGAATTGTTTCACAACTCACTCCGCCAGGTACACCACAATGGAATGGTGTGTCCGAACGGAGAAATCGGACCTTGTTAGACATGGTCCGTTCCATGATGAGTCTCGCTGAACTACCAATCTCTTTCTGGGGTTACGCTCTTGAAACCGCTGCATTCATACTCAATAGGGCTCCAACAAAGGCTACAGAAAGGACACCATATGAGATATGGACAGGAAAGGTTCCTAGTCTAATATTATTAATTTGGGACATTAATAATTAATAGACCAGTATGTGGATTAACTGATGGCTATATTCCACTAGTCATGGGTATAGAGATATCAAGTTAATAACATAGATGCTTGTTAGGGAACAAGTTCATTGGACAGACCCAACTTGAGGACACTGCTAGGTTATATGTCATCAGTGTTGTCCTCAATAATGATGAGGTGCTATATTCTTATACTTGAGATAATCATGGTTACTAGCATGAGAATTAATATGTATTAACACCATTAAATGTTATCTTTAACTGGGTAATTATAAAGGTGGTGATTGTACATATTATGAACCATGTAGTAGTATGTGAATTATCAAGATAGTTTTTGTCACTCTTGTACATCGAGAGAAAGATATCTATTGGGCCCCTTGACAAGTAAGATTAATTAGCATGGCCATGCTCAAATGAGGTGTCATTTGATCAAGATTAATCTTACTTGGTAATCAAGAAATATTAATTGAGAATAACAAGGATGACACGACCTAACCTTGTCTCAATTAAGATATCGTTTGACAAAAGAGAATTATTAGCACAAATTAATCATTAAAAGGTTATGTCAGATATAATTGACATTTATATATTTTTTGGATAGTCGTAATGCCTTGCTAGAGGCCGCTTTTGATTTGTGAGGCTCGAATTAATTTCTAGCCTACGACCAATAATATATAAACCTACAGGGTCACACACCTAAGTGATTTGGATCATTAATGTTTGTTAATAACATTAAAATAGCTTGATTAGCCCAATTCGAAACAGGGTTTCGAATGGTATTGGGCTAGGGCCTCTTTAAGGGTTTTATTAGCCATAAAACCCCTTCTTTCCTCCTCTTATAAATAGGGCCTTATAGACCCACGAATTTTAAGAGTTAAAAAATTCACTTCTTAAAACCTAGAGTAGAGAGGAAGAAAGAAGAGAACGCTAGCACGTTCCCTGCGGCCGATCCAGTCACGTGCGTGTGGATACCGGTAGAGCTCGGGATCGTTTTCTCGGACTGTCTGACATCCTTGATTAAGATTGCTATGTAAGTCCCTCTTAAATTCTTGTAATTTCGTTTATAATAAGAACCTCAGATCCGTTCATTTACTTTTGGGTAGAAAAAATTTTTGTTTATTCCGCTGCGTTTTTCTGCCCGAAACCCAACATCCGGAACACAAATACGGCGAAGATTGTCGGTTCTTCTACCCCTTTGCGCCGTTCAAATCGTTTGAAAGGAAGTGGCCCTTTACATGGAAGTTGGTTTGCACCTGAAACCTCTTAGCTTTTATGTCCTCCCTAATTTTCGATTACTTGTTTTGCTTAATGTTTGTACTGCATAGGGAAGGGAAGCAGCCTTGCGGAGACGATTGTGTTGTTCTTGACATCCATCAGCCGTGCATCAGTGAGCAGTGGCTTGGTTTCTATTATTCTTTTTTTTAATGCACATTTTATTTAAAATGATGAAGTTTTCAATATCTAGGTTGTGGTTTCTAGTAGTCTTCAGTCACATTCCAGAGGTGGGTGCTGCCAGGAATGTGACTTTGTTTGCTTGTTCTCTAAAAAAGAAAATGCAATTCTTTATATATTTTAGAACGAAATTTACACAAGTAGCATCTGGCTTAAAGGGTGTCAAGTGTTCGACGTTGACTATGTGAGTCACCCTTAATGGGACTATTGTGGTGCCACGTCACCTCAAGTGACCAAAAAATAAAACAAAAAACTAAGAGCTTAGCAATTAGCATATAAGGGGGTGTTGGGATTTGTTTCTTAAAACTGCTTCTGCTCCAAGGAGCAGCATATATAAGAGTGTTTGAGTCAAAGTGTAGAAGTACTTCTGGGTGTTCCAAGATGCTTTTAGAAGGATTTTTTTAGAAGTTGGGGGAGATTAACTTCTGGAAAACTGATTTTGATTCTACTTATGCTTTTTAAAAAGAATCAAAAGCAGAATCAATTTCAAACACCTCCTAAATACAAAGGGAAGTTATGTGCATAGGATTGAAACAACACTTTTATACACATAAGACTATGAAAACAAATAGGACTCAAAATACATTCTGGACAAGTTTCTTGAGAATTAACACTGAAAAATATTGCTAGAAAAATCACGGGCGAATCATCTCCGGAAACCACTGTAAGAAACCACTGTCATTGGCCACCCGTCACCACCACCAAATCATCATCATCATTACCCCAATGTCGCAAAGACTCCCATCTACGGTGGGGTAAGGGGGTCAGATGTACGCAGTCTTACCCCTGTACTAAAGCACAAAGAGACAGTTTCCGGATGACCCATAGTGAACATTGCGTCCAAAATTGCATGGACTGATTGTTGCTTCATAATAAAGAAGTGCAAACAGTTTAGTGAGCCATTTTGCTTTATTTCATCATATTCTCAAGCAAAAAAATAGTGAATCTTTGGCTCTATTGCAAATGATGGAAAAAATCAGTCACTTATTATCAACTATCTAAATTATTAACTGATTTGTAGTATATAAATATCTGGAATTACTATCTAAGGGTGTATTGGGTTGGAATTATTCGTTCTAAATTATGGACTAAATTAATTATAGTTTATGATGAAAACATAGATGGTGTTATTTCTAGAGGTATTAATCCCTTCACCACTTCCATTCATAACTTTCTTCTCACTCTGACTTGGAACACTTTGTAAAAAGTGAAATCATATGTTTGTAGTTGATATAAAAAAAGAAAACAAATACCCGCCACATAAATCTTTCTTGAAAACAAAATTGGGAGAAAATTTTGAGAAATCCCTAGAAGGAAAGTATGTAGAAGGCTATGGGGCGTAGGGAGTATGTTGAAGTCCTATGTAGAGCAATTTTATCTAAATACAAAAAAACCATTTCCATGTTTTGAAAACTTTTTTGGAGAGCTTATATCTTTCGGGCACTGTTAGAGGTTCTTCCAGATGAAAAGCAACTTTATTTCTTTGTAAACAGCTTATTTGGTCCAAAAAGATGTTTTACAATAAGCTCTGTTCCTAGATTTTTTGACAACATTATAGTTTTCTTTCCCCCAAATAACAGTAAACATTTTTACTACCAAACAAAATAGCTTTTCTGTAATACTTCGTACAACCCTTTGGTCATAACCACCAATCCAATCATTTGCCCAAAAATGGCCAGCACAATTGGCCATCCAACCAAAGATGCTATATGCCAAACAAGGCAATAATATCAAGGGAGAAGACAACACAAACCTATAATGATCTTTTTGATTTTTTAATAGAAATGGAGGAAGTGAAAGAAAAGTATGCCTATGAAGAAATCCGCAAAGCTCGCATTTTGGAAAATCAGGTCCTTGCTTGTACCTTTTTTTTTTGCAATTTTACAAGTTCAAGACTTGGGAATTCTTTGGCAGACAGTTTTCTGGCTTGGCTTATTCAACTATGAGTAGAATGTGTAGTTTTCAAATACTTTTATTGGGCTGAAAGGACCTGTCAGAAGATTAAGCAAACTCATTCGCCAAATAACCCTATCCATGCCGGTCTTTAATGTGTTTTTCATGTTTTGTTGTGTGTTATTTCTTGCAAAGCAGGCTCGGATGGAAAGTTTGGGAATCCGAAAAACCATGTCAGAACTTCGGTGCACCATTCCTTCAAAGCCAAAATTGGATAAGAGAAAGTTGATCAAGAGTGAATGCTCGTCCAGCCTTTTGCGTCGTTCGAATCGCTTGAAAAACAAACCAGCAGTTTCAATTAAGCTAGAAGATGATGAGGGGTATACTGCTCGCCAGCCGTCGTCCTATGCGGTGGCTCGGGGTTGCTCAAGAATGGTTAGGGGCAGTGTGCACGATCCCATCTACGGAATCTCTTGCCACTTCTGCAGGTTCCTGTCTTGAGATCTCTTCCTTTATTACTTATCCAGTCTTCCCCTTGCTGCATTCTTAGTTTGTGCCATTATAGTTCTCTTTGTTTCAAGGAATTTTTTGTCGTGGGAAATGTTTTTTGAGGACAATGGTTTCTGTAGGAATTACTTTCATGGAAAATAAGTTGTTCTTTCAATACACCATCTATTCAAAATGGAAGCCCCATTCATTATTCCCGCCATCAACTTAACTATCTTTTATTTTCTCATTTCATATTTTGAAACTTTTGGCATGATTGAATTTGGTTTCTGGTCTTAAATATAATTGGCAGTGTTGTCTCTAATATGTATACTTTAGTTATAAATAACAAATATAAGTATTGGCACAGAAGTGTTAACATTATCATTAGTCAAACATCATAAACTGAAACGAAATTTTCATTTTGGGACGTGAATAGCATAATATTTGCATGACCAACCAAAGTATAAAAACTGTTTCAGGTTAAGATGAGGATTCCTTTTCTACAAAAGCTCATAGAATCACGGAAAATAGTTTCCAGTTGCCTCACAGAAATGCAAATGAAAATGAAACATGACTAATGTTGCCATTTTTTTACACATTGGTTCAAACTCTTTCTATTGAGTTTGAATACAAATATCATCAATAAGTTTAATGACTTTGAACGAATACTTGTGTTCCCTCAAATTTTCATTCATTCAAAATGTCCCGTGTATATACCTCCTGTTCATTCTCTCTTAGTGCTAAATGAACCCTAAAATTGTCTGTGTTGGTTAGTTTTTTAAGGAGAAAGCAGTTGCTATAGCGCTATAACAAGCTTTACACTGATTCACAGGCAAAAGAAATTGTGTGGTGAAGAAGAATGCAAGCGTTGTAATGATTTTGACATGAACCAACCTTGTATAGGTTAGTGGTTTGGTAACTTTTGGTAAGCCGTAGTGGAAAATAGTTTAATGTAAATTTACATGAATAGCATTCATAACTTTTGATTACATTTCATTCCATTAAGCTTATCAAATCTCGCCCGAGTATTTAATGCAGAAACTTTTTTTTGTAGATAATTTATTTCTTAGTGAATTTACTCCTAAAGTTCGATTTTTTCTCAACATACAGGTAAGACAGATTGTTCGCTTTGTCATTCTGGTACTGGTGTCTTTTGTCGAGCCTGCCTTGAGATTAGATATGGTGAAGGTGAGCTAAAATCCCAAAGCACTTGAAATAACTATCACAGTTTGTCAACTTGTCGGACCAGGTTATTTTGTTTTGATAGTACTACGTACAAACTGTTTACCAAAAAAAGTTGGGAACTCATATGCTATTTGCGGTTCATTACTTGTGATAGATATGGATGAAGTGAGAGCGAATAAAGAATGGATATGCCCTCATTGTGTTGAAGACAAAGGGATTAATCCCTATTGGATTTGCAATAGGTATCAAGTTTTATTTAGACTTAAAAGACTTTTTTATCAACACAGAAAATTTAATGCGCTTGGCGTATCTCCGTATTGGATAGTTCATTTTGTTTGAAGAAGCGGCGAATGGCTCCCACCGGGATAGCAATATACAAAGGTTAATTTGAATTCATATTATTTTTAATACATGTATTATGCGTTTATTGTTCCTTTTCTTTTTATCACTTTAATGTTGGATTTGTCTTTTTTTAAAGCTCGAGAGATGGGATTCAAATCAGTGGCACATTTACTGATGCATGAGCTTATGAGCAAAGATGATTGATCCATCCGATCACATTTACAAAGTGAACTACCGTAAGAGAGTGGAGCTGGAGGCTAACGTATGCTACGTATCCCATCGTTACAATGGTTTGCATATATAAGACTATGCAGGTGACCAATTTTGTTAACATATCATGGTCATTGAACTTTTTGCATTCATAACATTATGCAGAAAGTTGAGGGGCTGATTCAATCTTTTGCTTCATCCATGTATGTGAAACTGATAAAAGCTTCGAATGTGTACTATCTGTTGCCAATGGGACTTCATGCGAATATGCTGAGAACAATGCTACCTGATGCGCAAACCCACATCCATATTAGGGATGGATCTGATTCGTTTTTTTATTATGGTCCAATTTTAGAACCTTAAATTGAAACGAGTAAACTTGTGCAGGTTCAGTGTGCAGTTCTGTAGGTCTCTTCCATGCCGGAAAATTTAGCTATAAAAAGAATGAGCCGGGACCTTAAGCCACTGGATCTTCCCCGATTCCAAAAGGCTAACGTGAACAAGGTAGAGGTGGGTGGGTGAAATTGAATTGATAAAGTACGAATTGCAAGTAAAACATTATAGAAAGTTATTAAAATTTGGAGTAATAATTAAGTATAATATTTGGTTTAGTTCATATTTTTTAATTCTTGAAAGTTGATGTTTGATAGTAAATTTATTATGATTTGCAAGATAATGACAATTGATACCTGTGATTTAAAATGGTTTTACTTGAATTTATTTTAGTCCTAGACCAGAACATGTCAGACTTGAATGAATAGATTAGACGAGACGAGATATCAATAAACCAGATCACTAGAATTCAACAGTTATAAAATAAAAATATAATAAACCAGCCATCAACTAGATTAGATTAGATTAATTTAGATCAAAGCAAACCAGACTTAAATTAGACAAGAGTACAAGACTAGACTAGAAAATTTCAATCCAATTAAACACACATAATTTATTGAAATATTCGTACTTACATTTTAGTTTCTTGATTGTGATTGAATGACAATGATATTTTGCTATATTATTAGTTATACATGTTAGTCTCTTGCTTTTTTAATCCTCCATTATAGTTCCAACAATTTGTCTTTCACTTTTGTCAATGTACAACTAGGCATGGACCGGTCCTGGGCGGGCTTTTGTCAATGTACAACCCCCCCAAAACACCTAGCTTAACCCGGGAAAAACAAAAAAATGAAAAAAAGAGAGGCCCGAACCGGGCCTGGCCCGGCCGGGCCGGTTCCTATTTTTGATGACCTGAGCCCGCCCTGTATAACCTCCAGGCCGGGCCTGCTTGGACCAGTCTCTAGCCGGGCCACCGGCCGGGCCAGTTCCAAACAGTGTCGGGCCACGGGCCGACCCGAAACTAGTCCACCACTACGTACAACTTTGACTACAATTATATTCAGGAAAAAGTGTCAAACACACCCTCATACTATTTTCAATTCATCATTTAAGTCCTTTTATTTAAAAAACATCACTTAAGTAGGCCTACTTTAAAAAATTAACTTGCTATAGTAGGTCATTTTTAAAAAATTAAATTAGGAATATTGATAAATCTTACAAAAATTCATATAAATTTGAATAAACAATCTATTAAAACTATAAAATAGTATGAATGTTAAAATATATAAAAAATTAAAATGTTATCATATTAAAAATAAAAAATCCAAAAACTGAATAAATAAAGTTGAAATTAAAAAAATAAAAAAGAATATTTTTTAAAACCTTTAAATAGATGTAGAATATACAAATAATTTTCAAAATTCAAAATTACTGCCTTTGATATTTCGAAAGTTTTCACAATTTTTTTATACATTTCTTCAAAATTTAACAATTTTTAAAGCTTTTAAATATTAAAAATTTTCTATCACAGTGTAGAAATTGATTAATTGGTCAAATTGATCAATTTTTTAAAGTAGATGTACTTATATGATATTTTTTTAGTACATGGGTTTAAGTGGTGGTTTGGAAATGGTTGAAAGATTTATTTGATCCTTTTTCCTTATATTTAATGACGTATTAGTAAATCTTATAAAAAGTAAATATTTTGAAAATACACATTCATAGAAAGTTAATAAAATTTTACACTTACTAATTTGATCATATATACTGGAAAAAAATCGTGGTCAAAGTTTCGTGTGTGAATAGTGCAAAAATTTCAATATTGCTACTATTTAAGATCAAAAGAGGTACTCCCTCCGTCCCGCTATGATTGTCCCATTTTACCATTTCGGTCCGTCCCACTAAGATTGTCTCATACCTTATTTGGTAAAATTTATGTGGTTCTAAATCATTCCTACTTTATTTTTACTTTATCAATTCAATATCAATCACATAAACACACTTTTATTAATAACCGTACCACCTTCTCTTGTCCCAAACTTAGGGGGACGGAGGTAGTATAAAAGAGCGGATTTTTATATAAATATCGAGAAAACACACAAGATAATCATTGAACAGTTATTACAGATATGAATGTACGCTTTAGAGATAGACATAGAGTTAGTCAATCATATAAATCAACCTGACTCGCTAGATACGAAATGAACCATTTTAACTTTTTAAGCTTATACTCCCAAAATTAAATATCCAAAAACAACGTACTCGAACTAAATAAAAATAAAAATAAGTGCCATTAAAGATAAAATAATACTGGAATAAAGTTTTTCTACAAAACTTTTCTTGGCACAGAGGTGGGTTCAGAGGAAGACGAGCTATTACAATATGAGTGAACACTAAATTCTTCTTCTTACTTCGTTCTGAATAGGCGTAGAAATGGGTGGAGTAAACAACACTTTTTATCGCTCTTCCACAATGTTCTAAAAGGCACTAGGCGGCTAGGCGGAAAGGCTCTCTTTGCGCGTGGGGGGGGGGATCAAATTTTGAAAACGGAGAAGGAAAACCGCGATTTATTTTTTTCTTTCTAAGGGTGACATGCGGAGACGAATGTCGTCCAAAAATCTATCTTTCAAAGATGCGATTTAATTTTTTTTTCTTCCCGTAACGTTTTATTTTTTCCCAGAACCAGAACTGCCCGGGCAGAACGGGAACACCTAGGGGTGTTCTGGTCGGTCCGGAATCAGAACACCCAGGGGTGTGTTCTGGTCGCGCACGTTACATCAGAACACTGGGGGTGTTCTGGTCGTGCGGTTCTCAGCCGTTGCGAAAATTAATGCCCAACGTTCTTATCTTTGAATGTTTCTTTAAATGGATAGTTTTTCTCCATATTAATGTACAACGTGCTGGACATTTATGTGCAATGTTCAGGTCCATTAAAGATTAATTTAACACACAAATCCTCCTATAAATTGGCTAGCAGGTGGTTTGCAACGATACACATTCACAAACGAACTCACGTACTTTTGAGTTCTGAAAACACCTCTAGCATTCCGAAAATTCCTTTGTGTTCTGCGTTTGTTCACGTTCGCCGGAACAGTCGTTTGAGTGCTCAAACGATCATTGCAACGCTTCTAGCACCTCGGGAGGTAACGAATACGTTTGACTAAATTCTGTTTCATCTATTTTCTGTTTTTCTTTGTCATTTAAATTAATTTTAATTAATTAATTTTTCTCTATTTTCGGAGACACACCCAACACTGGACAACAGGCGGTGGCACGGCCGGCAGCTGCAAATCAGTTGAGGCCCGTTTGGTATGATGTAAAGTAAACATTTTGCATGTGAAGTGTGGGGAAGTAAACATTTTACACCGTTTGTTTTAATTATTTGATGTAAACTGTAGGACACTTTTTAAAAACATTTTACACTTGTTTAGGTATTATTAATCAGTTAATAACTCCCCAATACAATACGCTTGCTAAGGCTCGTCGGCCGTTCGTCTTACAAGGCAGTAGAAGAGATGCGAGTAAGAGAGGTATAAGCTAGAGTGCTAAGAATAGTAAGTTGTCAACCCCTTACAATGAAATAAATGCTGCTATTTATACTATCAATGGGTAGTTAACTATACTGACGTGGAGGCCTGTGTGTGGCCGATATCCCAACCACCAAATCTCTGGCATTAAATGCGCTTCCCGCCAGAATTTGGGTTTCCCGCCCAAGTTGTGGAGACCTATGTCCAGTCTGGATAAAAGGGGTCTGTTCCTGGTGATACTTGATACTGCAAAGGGTAATGGGCCGTTCGTATCCTGGCCCTTAGAGGATTTGTCACGTGGATTGGACTGACTCCAATTGTTAGTTGTTCCCGGGGGGCGACGTTCGTCGCCGTTGAGTTGCCTGTGGATTCGATCTACTTGTCCCTGTACGGACGTTCCTCTGGTTGGACCGCCTTGTTTGATAGACGTTCGTCGGGATTGGGGGATGATGGGCCGGACCTCTGCTTGGGCCATTAACCCAACACAAGTCCCCCACTTCTGATGTTCTGAGCATGCGTGGGACATGAAGAAGTATAGTGCTTCTTAAGAGTGAGACGTTCGTGGCGCGGGGCTTATGCTTGCCGCATTCTCGGAGATGGACGTTCCTCTCCAAATTCATTTAATTTTCATTTCATTAGTGACTTGAATTCAAGATATCTCACGTGAGCAAGATCTTAAGGGTGAGAGTTCAACTACTTGAATGAGTTCCACTTGTCAATTTTTTTTGATATGATTGATTTGATCTTATATATTCTAGTCGATTTAATTCTTATAAGATCGGATTTATTTTCATTATTTAAATGCGATCAAGATTGATGTGATGTGGTTTACAATTGAGATAATTAGTCCAAATGAATTTAAAAGTATAATAATACACACCCAAAGTTGATGGACCTCGCCAAAATGTTGGTGTGGAGTGTATGATAGGTGGTATATCAACCACGTTTTGCTATAGTAAATATAATTAAATTCAAAGTAATAATAAATGAAATGCTAAAAATTGTTTTAAATAACATCTAAGTAATACTCCATTATATTAATAATAATAATAATAGCAGCAATAATAGTAATAATAATGATAATAATAATGATAATAATAATAATAGTAATAATTATTATTATGATTATTATTATTATAATGTAAGGATACTGAAATTTATAAACACATATACTCATTTTTATGTCATCAATTATCAACTATATTAACCAAGTATTTCAGCTCAACTGGTTGCGAGGTTACCGTGTCCAGTAGGAGGTCTCGAGTTTGAATCCTGCTAGGCACACAAGAGTTTGATGTTTAATGGGCTGAATTTGAGCCCTGATTACTCCAGACTCCCACCTGAGAACAAAAAAGTTCGATTTCAAATTACGAATGAAATCAAAATTATGTGATTTTATTACGATCCCGCTCTAAACAACTCCCGAATCCCCGACCCACATTTATGCCCGGATGATAATTATTTGGGTTGGTGTCTTTTCCCATAATAAATGCTGAACTGCGATTTCTCCATCTACAAACCCAAAAGCTTCTGAAATTGGACAAAAATCCCTGCAAAGTTTTTCCCTTGAGACGGGAAAGTGAAAACGACGGCGTCTCGAAGTGGTGGACAATGCTTCTTCCGCTGCTTCTGCTCTTCTCTCTTGCAGCCGCTGCAGATCAATCCACCGACCGCGCTGCCTTGCTGGCTTTCCGCTCCGCCGTGGGCGGGCGGCGCACTGTCGTATGGAACACTACTGACGCCGCCCTTCACTGCAACTGGGCCGGAGTTCAATGCGAAAATGGCCGAGTCACCGTTCTCCGCCTCCCGGGCTTTTCTCTCTCCGGCTCCATCCCGCCTCACACGCTCTCCAACCTCACACGCCTCCGCACACTCAGCCTCCGTCTCAACTACCTTTCCGGTCCGCTACCGGCGGACCTCTCCCAATGTGTCGGCCTCCAGAACCTTTATCTCCAAGGAAACCATATCTCAGGTTCCTTGCCCGATTCCTTTTTCGACCTTCACTCCCTGGTCCGCGTCAATCTTGCTAACAACAACTTTTCCGGTTGCATTCCTTCCCGGTTCGACAATTTGACCCGTTTGCGGACCCTTTTTCTGGAAAACAACCACTTCTCAGGCTCCTTACCGGAGCTAAATAACCTTAAACTCCGAGAGTTCAATGTTTCGTTTAACTACTTAAACGGGTCTATCCCAAAGAGTCTAGAATCATTCCCCCCGGAGGGTTTTGCCGGAAATTCACTCTGTGGGAACCCTCTCGCTCTTTGTCCGGGTGGAAAAACCCCGCCGGCCATAGCAACAGGCTGGATAACACTTGGCAATTCTAAGAAACTATCCGGTGGAGCAATTGCAGGGATTGTGATCGGATCTTCAGTCGGATCTCTACTTGTTTTCATAATCCTCTTCGTCTTGTGCAGAAAGAAAGCACGATCAGTAGATGGTTCTGCCATAAAGCATCCTGAAACTGGAGAGAAAGAAAGGGAAAATGCGTACTCAGTGGCTCCTGCAGCAATGGAAGGGCATGGCAAAGGAGGAGAGAGTAGTATGGGTGGAGGTGGGACCAGGGATAAGAAGCTAGTTTTCTTAGGGGGTGCTTCGAGTGTGTTTGATTTGGAGGATCTTCTGAGAGCTTCTGCTGAGGTTTTGGGAAAGGGAACTTTTGGGACCACGTATAAGGCGGTTCTTGAGATGGGGACTATTGTGGCGGTGAAGAGGTTGAAGGATGTGATGATACCTGAGGCAGAATTCAGGGAGAAAATAAGGGTGGTTGGCGACATGAACCACCAGCATTTGGTGCCTCTGAAGGCTTATTACTATAGCAGAGAAGAAAAGCTACTTGTTTATGATTATATGCCCATGGGAAGCTTGTCTGCATTGCTTCATGGTAATTGATCTCCTTCCCAATTCTCAATCTCTTTCTTTTTTATAAACTTCATTTTGATGGTACGAGATTAAAGTTCTTTTGGTTAGTGTTATTCAGCTGTTATGGCTGGCTGAACTTTCTGAACAGAGAAGCAGCTATAAAAAGCTTACTTGTTCTGACTATTTTATTGATGACCAGAATATGTCTCATTTGTTTGGCTACTAAACTTGCCGTTTGCCTGTTGGTGGATTCAGATTGTCTTTTCAAATTTGAGTTCCTCAGTAGATTTAAATGTGATTGATTCATTGTGTGTACGTTTGTTCAAGAAAAGAGTAGAGAACGTAGTGATGAACTGATGATTTTGAAGTTTGCTGCTACAAAGGGTGGCTTATGCACTTTTGGATCCACATTTGGGCCAAACTCGTGCTTGCCAACTATAAATGTTAAAAATGTGATATGCTTACAGTTGCAGTTATGGACAAGAACTTGGGTTCTTCTTCTTGGCTTGATATGCCTTTCATTTGTTTCTTCTATTAGGAGTTTCTCTCTCTCTCTCTCTCTCTATGTGCGTTTTCATACTTTGATAGTTTTGTTGTTTTTTATGCAGACAGACAAGCTGCAATGTTAGTTTCTGAGCAGCCTGCATAACTATTGAGTTAAAACAATTTTTTTAATTGATGCAAAAGAGTTAATACCATATGTAGTCCTTACTATTCTTTCAATTCCTTATGCAGTCCTTAACTTTCAATTTTGACCATTTTTCTACCTCGACTATTTGATCCTTCCAGAATTTATCATGTAACAATAGATGTTGATTATTTTCAATTTTTATCATCGTTATTGATAGAGTATTGACTGATTAGTTCACGGACAAAATTTGGAAAGAAAACGAATGTCAAAGTAGACATGTCATCAAATGAAATTGAAACTCGAGGACTGTGGAATCATCTATATACTTGAGGACCAAGTATATGGTATTAACTCTTTAGATGATCCAGTATCCATTGACGTGTTTGATTACTTATTTATCCGATTAAGCTTTATGTATGATTCGTTCTAAACTAACTGCCTGATTTCTCTCACACAGGCAAGGGTGCAGGCAGGACATCACTGAATTGGGAAATGAGATCGGGCATTGCCCTTGGTGTTGCCCGAGGCATAGAATACTTGCACACCCAAGGCCCCAAAGTCTCTCACGGGAACATAAAGTCATCAAACGTCCTCCTAAACAAATCATATGAACCAAAAATATCAGATTTTGGCATATCCGATGTTGTTGGGCCGTCATCATCCTTTCCGGTACGAGTTGCCAGTTATCAGGCACCCGAAGTGACTGACCCAAGAAGGGCCTCTCAAAAAGCTGATGTATATAGCTTTGGGATATTACTTCTTGAGCTTCTAACAGGCAAAGCTCCAAAAAACACTCTCTTGAATGAAGAAGAGGAAGGGGTTGACCTACCAAGATGGGTTCGGTCAGTGGGTAAGGAGGAGTGGACTTCTGAAGTTTTTGATGTTGAACTTCTTAGGTCAAAGAATGTTGAGGAGGACATGGTGGGACTATTGCAACTCGGGGTTGATTGTGCGGGTCAACACCCCGAGAATAGACCGTTGGTGACAGAGGTTGTGATCCGGATTGAAGAGATTTGTGGTTCAAGCTTGACAAATAGAAAACATTCCGAAGTTGTCATTGAAACTGAGTAATGCTATCTCCCACCCCATTCATTGTCACTGTTGTATGAGTCACAGGAGCTGGCGACCAACAAGTTGCTCAATTGACAAGATTCAAGAAGTTATTATTCTTGACATGATCATCCATTAGAATTAACAGTCACCCCCCCCCCCCCCCCCCCCAATTCCATTTTTTTGTTTCTCTCCCTCTATGTGCAATGGGTGTGTTTTGTGATTCTTGACTATATCATTTGCTGTTGGTTTTTTTCGGGGGTGGGGTCCAATATTAAATTTCCTATAGGGTGGATATGGTGCCTGTGATGATTCTTTTTCAGCATAGCTTTTACTTTTGCTTTTTAGGTATGGATTTGTGTTTGGATGCGTGGGTGACAAGACTGTGTGACACCCACATTATAATACGTATGCTGTTCTCTCTTTATTTGAGGTAACTACTGATCTTTTTCAAAAAGTATCAAGCTTATAACAATTTTTTTTGCTAGGCCAATAGTCCCTTTTTAAACATAAGTTCTAATCTTTTTTCTGCTTAATGAAACACTATAATTCAATAACAATAACATTTAAGCCTTAATCTCAAAAAATTTTAGTGCCAACTAACATGAATTGATACATGAAATAGAGCTCAAAGAAAAAGAAAGATAAAAAGATAAGGTATGATAAAAAAGATAAAAAAAAGGATAACGTAAAATAAAAATCAGATATACATCAAAATGATAGGATGAAAGGATAAAAAACATAACAAAGATAGAGAAGATAAAAAACATAACAAAGACAAAGAAGATAAAAAAGAAGATAAGTTACTAATTGGGTTTAATGCATCAAACTCCATCATGATATATAAACTAGTGTAACACCCGGGGCATGCCCCGGTAGTGTTAATTTGATATGGGTGAGGACGTGAGGTAACAAATACAGATAAACATTGTGAATTATTCATAGGATATGATCAAATTTTGGTTATAATCGTTTTCTTTTACTCCCTTTGTCGCTTTATATTTAACCAAACACTATTTGTTAAGTCAATGATGTTGAATTTGACCAATTATATATTTATATACAGTAGTAATGATAATATGGAAATGATATAAAATGTTATTTGTTAAAACTTTCTGCTCATAAAAGTATAAATTTATTAACTTTAATTTCAAATAAATATATTAGTTAAAATATTAATAGATCAAAGTTTTATCATCTTTGACTGAAAAAGTCAAATATGACCAAATAAATAGGGACGAAGGTCATATGAACTAACCACCACCATGGAATACATGTGATGAATCACCATCTTTTGGAGTATGAATTTGGGATTACATTATTTTGGATATTCACGTCTATTATTTAATTTGTGTTGTGGGATTAGAGTCCCGTTCACGTGAACTAAAATTTCATTATTTAAAATTTTAGTCTTGAATTAGAGTCTCACTCAAATGAGTAAGATTACTTTTTTATGATTAGAGTCCTATTACATGTATTGGAGATTTCGAGTCTCATTATTTAAAAAATTGATTTTGTACAATTATTTTGGAAACTGAATTGATATGGTATTTATTCCGAGAATTATACTCCATTAATATGGTTGATATTAAGAAGTTGTTATATTCGCCAGATATGAATATATATGATCTGAAATTTTTAAGATCTTGTCTGATCTAATCTGATTTTTTTTAAAATAACATACAAATAATGACTACAATAATTAACAATATTCCTAATTGATTTCAATGGAAGCAACATACAATAATAACCTACAAAAATATTTAGATTAGATTTGAATAATCATAATAGTAAAAATAATAAATTATGTTTGAACCAATCTGGCTTGAATTTTTATGATCTGATCTGAATTTTTTATTTCTGGATAGAATGATAGGATGAAAGGATAAAAAACATAACAAAGATAGAGAAGATAAAAAACATAACAAAGACAAAGAAGATAAAAAAGAAGATAAGTTACTAATTGGGTTTAATGCATCAAACTCCATCATGATATATAAATTTAGAGCATTAGCCCCATTTAATTTATAAAATACGTCAAACTCTCATGTGTTATAATTATTCATGAGCAAAACCCCTTCCAAGAACAAAATCTACAATTTTGAAATCACTTTTCTCAATAATATGATTGAATATGCAAAAAATTTTGTCAAAATTTCTAAATTATACAAAAGTAATTTTTATTTTTCATTTATTTGGCAATTAAATTTATTCGTAAAAAAGATTTTGTGCATGATTAACTATAACGTAAGAGGGTTTGATGCATTTTTAAATCACAGAGGGCTAATGAGATGAATTTCTATTTCACAAGGGGGTTTATTGCATTAAACCCAAGATTAATATGTCACTCGAACACCCGCTCGCCACTTAGCTCTGTCTAAAGTCATGCTCTCATCCAATCCAAGAAGAAACATATCACTCTGGACTCATCTAATCGGCGACTGTTTAAATCTTCATGTCCTCCTCTCAACACGTCTAAAAGAACCAAACCACCGCAATTGAGATTCTCACATCTGATCTTCAATAGGTGTTACTTTTACCTTTCGTTTGATTGTCTCATTCCTCAAGTGACATTTTCTAGTATGTCACACATCCAACGCAACACACACATTTTTGTCATACTCATCTTTACAACGTGACACTGTTTCACCACCAAACACTCTATGTCATACAGCAATGCAAACTTAATTGATGACCGATAAAATTTACCATTCAGTCTAGTCAACATGCCTTGATCATAAAGAAATCATGACACACTCTTCCATTTCATCCACCATGTTATGATTATATGAGATACATCTCCATCTAGTTCATTTTCCTTCAGAACTATGGATTCTAAGTAAAGGAACACATCACTGACCGGTATCTCCTTACCATCTAGGTAATCCCAATGTTACCACTACGTCTATCTCCACCAAACTTGCACTCCATACACTCAGTATTGCTTCGACTCAGCCTAAAACTATTGTTCTCCAACGTTTGTTGACATACTTCCAACTTTGTTTTAACACCTAATTGTGTCTCATCATCAATACAATATCAGATCACCGACAAACATCATGCACCACAGTGTATGGCTTTACTGATCTAGGGGTAGGCACAACTGAAGGAGAGTCAGATAATACGCGAAGTGTAGATCGAGTAAGAAATTTGGCAGAGTAACAGTAAGCTTGAGAATCAGAAAATACAACCCCTTTCCACAAGTTGAAAGGTGATATCTATAGTGTACAAGGAGATACTTGGTGAACAAGTAATATAACTTGCCACTAATCTATTGAAACGTGTAAGGCTAATTGGAGAGATAATATCTAATTGATTGGTACTATTGCACTGGCTTTTTTACTCGCGGTACTGGAATGCCTGGATAAGCCACATGTGTAATCTGGCAGTTGGCAGGTATAACCGAACTGGGTGACGTCAACCCAGGGACAGGTGTCGTGTCGTGACATAATCCTGAATCTTGTAACATCGTAGTGCTAAAAATGTCTAAGTCCACGATTTCTATTTGAGGCCCTGAGCTCGGTCATAAAAGTCATGCTCGGGTGTAGCGTGTTAGCTTAGAGGTGAGGAACCTCGGCTCATAATGTGAAACAGGAATATCCTTATTGATCTTGAGCTCGTAACACAGTAGTTGGGCTGGAGCTTGGCCATAATGCTCGAATCATCACCGACCTCGGTGAGGGTCGGCCTTGACTGCACTTTTGGACTTATCTCGTTGATCTGAGAACCGATTTTGAGTCCGGCCTCCGCTGGAGCTGCCTTAGTGGATTCTGGATATCCCTTAACGTAAACGTTGATGCCCTTGGGGTATATATATGACAATTTACTCCATCAACAGTGTATCATATTATAAGTTCATCCATGACTATAACAAAATAAGAAATAACTCAGAGCTGCTCCTTGATGCACTCCGGTAGTAATAGGGAACTCTGCAGTTCTTCCTGCACTCGTATAGACACTTGCAGTACAATCCGCATACATAGCCATTATGATATTACGTTATATGCCTTTTCTAGTTAAGACACACCAAAGTACTTCTTGAGGTACGCTATCGTATTCCTTTTTTAAGGCAATGGACACCAAATGCAAGAATAAAATACTACGTAGTATAATGTTAAAGCTAAATTATCCATTATAAAGACTTCATCATCTAGATTAAACATTACTAGTTATAAATTTTAGATGACATCTAATGTACAGATTAACTGTACCAAATTTTCATAATCCGGACTAAACATCATGTCTCATTATTTCCAGGACATACTAAATTTACTTTAGTACCAATAAAGTAGAGTATTGTATCTGAATCGGGAGTGAGTAGTACTTAAATTCAATCGTTAAATTCAATCGTTAAATTGGCATTTTGAGAATTTGCTATGAAATCCTAACTTATTATTATAATTAAATTTTGAGAATCATAATTGAATGATATAACCCAACATTCAGATTGAATTCCAATAATTTAAACATCACTATTTCATTTAATTAATCAAGTTATCATCATTTAGATTAAAAATTATAACTACAAATAGAATTCTATTCGATTAAATATTTACGAGTCGTCTTTCTAAATATCACGATTTGATTGAACAAAATATAATACTAAGCTCATTAGAAGTTAGAATTTTACTGTTCTTTTGTCTTTTTAACTCACTAAATATATATCGCCTAATCATAACATAACAAAAACTAAAGAATACATATTACATCTTCAATTCCGACCGATTCCAAAAGGGTGACATATTCATTCGATTGTATCAATCATGTTATTAAAAATCGAGTTAGATTTCATAAATGATCAAAATCACACCATGAAAATTTTAATTAGTGCTAAAACATCATCTCACTGTGCATCGTGTGTTAGCCTACAAATCTATAAAATTTATTATTCTTTTTTACAAATCTTTTATTCCATAACATTTTTATATCTTAATATGATATTATCAAATTTATCATGACTTGAACATTGTAAACTGTCAAGTGAAGTTTATCATATGGCAGATAGGAGCAAGTATACATATTGTTGTATTCGCCCGCATAATGACTTTCTCACCATGTAAATGCTCCATTATGTCAACGAGTAACTTTTAGTCAAACAATAACTGGCGTATATAGTCAATGAATATATGCAGGGGCGGACCGTAGTACAGACCCAGGGGGCGGTCGCCCCCCAACAACAAATTTTTTTAGTGTATATATATAATAAAAAATAATTTCCTTCCCAAAAATTATTTTGTTTAAGTTGTCGCCCTCCCAAGACAAACTTCCTGGGTCCGCCCCTGCGTATATGGTAACGATCATAACTATGAGTAAGAAGTACTACCTCCCTCCCACTATATTTGGGGCAAGAGGATGTGACACAATTTTTAAGAAAGAGTAGAATTGTGTGTTTGTTATTGAATTGATAAAGTGTGAATAAAGTAAGAATGAATT